AGACATGAGCGCGATTCCGAAATGTAGCACCACGCTTCTCATCACGGCGAAGTGTACAATGGCACGGCAAAGTGCGGAGTAACGCGGTGAAGGTAAATTAATAAAGAAAGCGGAATCCAACATGCGATGTGTCGTCGGCACACGAAGGTTCAGACGATGATATAGCACCATTGATGGATTGTTTTACCCGGAGAAATGGAAAAAAAGAACAACCCCTGGCGGGACTCGAACCCGCAACCTCCAGATTAGAAGTCTGACGTCATAACCATTAGACAACAAGGGCGTTGAAGACATTATGAAGGGTAGCATGACGGAGGGAAAAGGTACAAGCGGGCAACACGGGTACGGTAACGCGCCGCCTGCGGCGGCCCTTCCCGAGTTGGAACACGTCCCCGTCGTAAAGGATGCCAAATACACACTCGTATGTTGTTCCTGACCATTATATTCCGCTATGACTTGAGCAATCGCATCCGATTCCTCCTTTCTACTAACGATTTTGAGCTTGACTCCTATAAAAAGAAACGTCTTGCCTCTTGTGTCGTCGATCGCAGTAGATGGGTTAACTCGATCTTCTCACCAGGGCCCATACAGTGACGTGACCGCAAACTGTCGCAACCGATCCCACTACGTAGCGGGAATGTCTTTCATTACTATCAAACTCAAGAAGGCCAAGGCCCCGACTAGACTTGCATATTTTGATGTACAGCCAAGCTGGGAAGATCTTGCCTCGAAAATCATTGAGCTGTATAAAGTTTCACCAGAGAATGTCAGCGTCACTTTCTTCGACGAAGCCAAGGACACAGTTACTATCACCAGCGAGGAAGAACTTCAGCATTTCTACAAACGCTATTATCAGTCTTCTGAAGAAATCAAGTTTGTTGTGCAGGATGATCGTGAGTGGGCTTTTAATCCTACTACAGTAGACATCCCAATAATGCATTGACTTATATGGTAATTTAAGGGTCTATTGAATGGGAAATTGCCTAAAACGGATATGCATTATTGGGATGTCTACTGTAACTACTTACCCTAATTCATCGCTCCTCTATTATCTCTAGCCGCGCTCACTTCCACTTGGTCAGCGGATTCCAATCTATCTGGTCTGTCCGGCAGTCAGACTGATCAAAGTGGCTCAATAAAAATTGCTCAATAATAGGCTCAAATGACCGGCTCCAACTTAACTGTTGGGTTCTCACTGTATCCGACAACCCTTCCTTCGTCGACGTTGGAAAAAGCATGACGGTGGATAAACTGAAAGAAGTGATCAAGGAGAAGAAGAAGGAACGTACGTTTAATGGCATCGAGCCCGACACCCTCGAGCTCTGGATGGTGAGCGAAATCTTCCCTGTGCGGGTCGATGACATCTAATTTTCCGGAAGCTAGATCCACCCATTCCTTCTACGGAAATCGACACAAAGCTTAAAGGTGTTCAAAGGCCGCAGCAGATACCAGGCAGAGTCAAATTAAACCCTCTTGACGAATTATCGGAACATTTCCCCTCACCCCTTCGCAAGCACCTCCATATCATTGTGGAAGCCCCACCTACACGTAAGTATTCTCGTAATTTCTCCACCTGCCTCTCTAACTCTACATATCGATGGTTGCTATATGACCATCACCTACTAATTTGAATGGTTTTACGCATACGCTGACGCAATTAACGGAATCATTTGAGTAGCACTATTGATAATGAATGTTAATATGATAATTCGAGGCTTACACGCAAAGAAACTCCAGTGCTTGGAACCCCTTCAGGTTCATACATAATGAACCATTATTGCTACCTCCCTCGGTCTCTTCAATCTCCAGTATCGCATCATCATTCTCATCAACCCGGGGAGGGCATATACGGTACTAAAGTCCTTGTCCGAGAGAAGTACTCCCTTTGGTTCTGAGACAAGTCGTCGAATGCCACCCACAGAGCCAGCTTGGTTACAGAATCATTGAGGAATTCCATGTGAGTTTGAGGCAATTGAACAAAGTCGAGCCAGGGTAATAAGGACGACTTGGTCTCTAATCACGGCGACGGATGACTTCAAATTTACATACGCCATCGTATCCGCGCGCGCTAGATATTTTCGGCCAGATGGCTAAATTGGACCAAGAAAGCAAAAGTTAACGTCACGACTCGGAGCAGTAGGGAGGCCTCGCATACAGCATCTGACAACTCCAAGCTTGGGGAATGTAGCAGACTGTTTCATTTGATTAACACACTAAATAAAAGCTTTCAGTTTGAAATCGAGGTAAAAGTGATGAGATGTATGCGGCGATTCGAACGATAGGCCCATGTGGCAGTGCGATGACTCCCTCATGGCAGACCCTATCCCAATCCCGAACCAGGACGCCCCTCACCTTAATTGTGTTATCGAAGACGAATGTAAACTCTTCCCAGTTACCGTGGGGCGCGATTATGCGGTTAGCGAACTGAAGGAAGTTATACAAGGCAAGGCAAGACACGGTATCTTAAAGGATATTGATCCTCACACTCTGGAATTGTGGAAGGTGAGCGCCATTGATGACTTACGATGTGAAGTGACATTACTTTTCTCAGCCCAAGGACCCTATCGTTGCGAAGCCAGCAAAGACTTTGGCTGTACGTATCGGGTCCCTGGGAGGTCTTTCGGAATTTGCGGTCATATTAGAACCTACGGACAGCGTCTTCGATATCTTTTCAATGTCTCCTCCCAAAGACCACATCCACATAATTGTGCAGGTCCCGGCCGCTGGTGAGTGGAAGTAAATCTCCGCGACTGAACGTTGCTGACGAGAACCTTTTTTCCTTTATTAACTCCACCTGTAAATGATTGTATTTCCGCCTCCTCCCGCATTTTCCTCCTCATCTCCTCATCTCATTTCTCTTCATCGTCCTTTTCCCCTCTTCCCGATCCCGACCCTTCCTCTCCGATCGTTATCTTCCACGTCCAATCTCCTTTAGGTGGCAACGGGAAAAAGACCATTACTCCATCCAACTCCACTACTAGTGTTGGTGTCATCAATAAGGAGATCAAAGAAGAGCTCAAGTCGCTTCAACCGGCAGTCGAGGCGTTTCTGAAAAATCCTGAGTTGCGCATCTGGGCTCCTCCGCAGCACACTATGCCAGACATACAGAATTTTTTTACGGAGCTTCGAATACCAACCTATCCCAATGGCAAACCAAATCTTCTACTTCATGATCTCGATAAGTGCGATGGCAAGAAAATTCAAGAGGTGTTCGAGGATGCTACACCCATGTATGTAGTTATAACTTCTCCGAACTTTCTTTCACGCACAATTGCAGGTGTATCTGCAACACATCTGGATCGGGTAAAACCCGGCGCATCATGGAAGCCCTCACGAAATATTGGGGTTTCTATCTTGTTGCAACTCCGGATGCGAATGGCGTTGGCATTCGAGATTTGCACGACGCCTTAGAGTTAGTCGCTAATTATCAGGAGTGGGTCCCCGACCTTAGACCACTCGCTCCCGAGGAACGTACTGTTCAGAACGGTATAAATAATCAAATCGCATATAGGGCCTTTCGGAGAGTCCTGGCTGCGCGGATAGTGGTTTTCGAGCTTTTCCTACAGGTTGCAACCCAGATTGATGGGTCCTTGCAGGCAAAGCATAAGCGTATCTGGCTGTTGTTCCAGTTGTTCGACCGACTAAACCCTCAGCGCATAGGCTCGCACCCATTTATCCAGATCATCAATAAGCTTCGCAACGCCTCGAATGACGCTCTCGATGCATTGGTTAATCGCCTTGATGTCATTATTAAGAAATATTCTCTTCACTCCGAGCTCATTTTGGGGCTCGACGAAGCGCAGTGGGCTGCCAGATCATATCCCTATTCCGGCATGTCATCCTCCAACTCCGGAGCATTTCGATCAATAATCCGCGAAATGGTTAAAGCCTTCACCAAAGCACCGGTCAAGATCGTTGTATCAGGTACCGCTGTGTTGCTCGCAGACCTAGATGATAGCGTAGCCTCTGGAGTCGGGAAACCTGCTCATAAATTCAAAATGTTTCATGAGCTTGGGATGTTCGACACCTGGCCGAAACTGAAGCTATTCCTTGAACGCTATGTCCCGGCTTCCATTTTAAACACTCCTTCATGGCGTTGCCTTCAGAAGCGGATGCAAGAATACCTTCGGGGTCGGTGAGTTAGAGCCGTCGTTTTTGACTGTGCAAGTCTCATTGGCAATAGATATCGCTTTACTGTATCCTTTCTGGAGCTCTTCCTGATGAATGGCCTGCAATCGCCACACAAATTATTGAATAAATATCTGGAACAGCATATCACTTGTCCCCCCGGCGATACTGGTCTCCTCTTTACTTCGGGTGAACCTGACCTTTGCATCAAGGTCGAATTGAAGGGTTTCGAATGGGAGAGGCTCCGGTTAGGTTCACTTTTGTCGTTCGACTTCCGGTTCCTCTCTCTGACATTGAACAGATTCGTTTGCAACTCAGGAAGTGGTCAGGATTGTGCAATCCCACTTGATTAAGGGGGAATCTCCGAACTACGGGCCCGTTACTGCCAAACTTGTCGAATATGGGATAGCTTGTCTTCGTGAGGATCACGATGGGCAAATTGTTGAACCACTCGCATTTCTATCGGCAATACAGTGGTTCGAGGCTCATGACATCACAAAATTGTCTGCAGACATACGACTACGAGCTGGTGATGGGAATTCACGTGGATATGCTTTCGAGAATGCAATGGTTCTTTACTTGCTTCGAGGGTTGGGAACTCCAGTTTTTCTCAACACGATTTTCCACTTTGTCCCCAAATTCACCCCTTCATGGGCAGATGAAAAGGCTCAGATTCAAGTTGTGGCACGTCTCGGTGGCGACTATATACCAGTGAACATTATGGGAGAAGCTCCACAAAACCCAGGTCTTTGCATTGTCCATTATGCAGAAACTATCAATGACGTTATAAACTGGATTGAAACTCTCGATCCTGCCCCGGCAATACTTATTTCAAGCAATTTATTTGGCCCGGATGTTTTATTAAAGGTCAAATTATGGTCAGAATCAACAGCTAACCCTAGGATTGTCATTGTGATGGCTCAACTTAAGTCCTACACCCGTGGTAACAAAGCAACCCTAGATGCGCAGACGCTTAGCAAGGCTCTCACTTCTCTGCATCCACTGCACTGGTTCAAGCAATTGGTGCGTCGGTTAGTTTGGTCACTTTTTGTCTCATTAGGATTCTTGTGGTAGCCAGAGCAACAACGTCAGAAACTCACCGATGCCCTAAAAAAATATGATGTCCTCCGTGTTATAGCCGGCTACCCATTGACT